CTGCGGCCACTGCTGATCCAACAGTTAAGGTTATATTTAGTTCAGTGAAGGGTTTGAGTGTCAGTCAGTTCAGATCAATAAGCAAAGCAGATCAGTGTCACCTTATAGTGACAGCGGAGACAGAGACTTGACACTGACTGCCCTCTAGTGGTTTTTATAAAGGAAACATTATTTTTCACCCTCATGTTGTGAGCTACTTAGAATCCACATAACTATGACTGTAACTTAACTAAAAGTGTATGTAGTATTGGTGTCATTTGTGCCTTAATTCATTCTCATGTCAATCTTCTTCTCTATAATTTCATTAAAAGGAAAAGAATCAATCAAAGATCGACCAACATAATACAGTTCAGGACTGTAGGATTTTGTACAGCTGTTCATCCAACTCCAGTCACTGTGAGTCTCGAGCACAATAATAAACAGCAGAATCTTCAGTCTTCAGACTGTTCATCTGCAGATACAGCTGCTGTCTGCTGTTGTCTCTGGAGATGGTAAACCGGCCTTGGACTGACTGAGAGTAGGATTTGCCACTACCAGTATAATGCAAGGCAATCCACTCCAGTCCTTTTCCAGGAGCCTGTCTGATCCAGGCCATGTTGTAGCTACTGAATGTGAATCCAGAGCCTGTACAGGTCAGTCTGTGGGATTCTCCAGGCCTTTTAACCACTGGTTCAGATTCTGTCAGAGTCTGACCATCAACACCTGTCAAGACAAATGAGAAAATAGTCACTTGTTGTAAGTTAGCAGCATTTTAAAGACAGATTCAATTCAGGATCAGAGAATCTCTTCACCTGCCCAGCAGAGAGTTAACAGCAGCAGTCCTGTCCTATAGTCCATCATGTTAAACTGTGTGTCCACTGTTCTCTGTCATCCTCTCTGCAGTCAGATAAGTAGAGGTGGAAGACATCAGAGTTTTGCATTGACTCCTCCTCACAGGGAGGAGCAAAGTGGACCACAATTAATGTACTTGAGTTTATGGGAATGTTATGATTTTTTTCAAAGTACTTAAATGTATTTATTTTCCTGTTGTCAGTATTAACATTGTAGCCATATTTATTTTAATCATGCAAAAACATTAATTGTTGTTTTGACACATTAACAAACAAAATGTATTCAGATCATTTAAAAGAGAATTCCTTCCATCATAAAGACTCTGTTTCCCATTTGTCGATTTAAGCATATGAGCAACATATAAGAACATTTACTCCAATACACACATCCACAGTATTATACTCATCACCACCATAGATTATCATTCATGCTGCATTGTCATTTCACCGTGTTGTCTTCATTAACCAGTGTGTTGTACATTTCTTTGATGGCAAGTATTTCAGCCTTCCAATTACCTTATGGTCCTGCCAAATTAACTGTCGAATCAAATGTTTTTCAGCGTTTTTCTTTTTGCTAATATATTATTTACTGTAATTCTATGTTTGCTCTTATGAATATGACATTAAATTAGTAGAGACCATGTGGGATGGGATCACACCAGCCCATCAACATGTTGACATTCCAACACGAGTATTTAGAAGTCATTACAACATTATTACATGAGTATTTAGTCATTGATACATTATTACATGAGTACTAAGTAATCATTACAACATTATAGACTTACTCAAAACCTCCATCTTTTTTCTTAATTCACAGTCTTTGCACTACTCTGTGCATTTCATAATTTAAACTGCACTCCAATCTCCAAAGAAAAAAGACTGTGAGGAGAACAGTTAAACGCACATATGTTTATTGTTCAGCTACTCTCTTCACTGGGAAGGCATTTTAATGAAGCTCTGTTATGGAATAAGTAAGATGCCGATAAAATAATATGATTTCTACAGTCTATATTTAGAAATATTTTTTGTGGAAAACTCATCTTTAACCCACAATCAAACATTGGTGGATTGCACACTGTCCTATCTGTGTGGTGTCTTTTTTTTTGCACTCCTTCAAGAAAGTATGTTATCAATGTGACATGAGTGTAGTGAGGATCAGGTCTGCTGGATTTTGTACAGCTGCTCAACCAACTTGAGCCACTGTGAGTCTCAAGTGCATCACTTTTTCCAGTTTTTATTTATTGTTTTGTTTGTGTGTGTGTGTGTCTGTGTGTGTGTGTGTGTGTGTGTGTGTGTGTGTGTGTATGTGTGTGTGTGTACTTTTAATTATGTGAGACAATGTATATATATCAATATACCTAGAATATTTACATATAGTTCCAGTCTTCAACAGATTGTTGTGGTTCTGTCTTTTTTCATGAATATGTCATTATGGTTATTTTTGTAAAACTGACCCTGATGTTTTTATGTTTCCATGATTTTATTAGAAACAGAAACCACAACCGTCAAAATAAAAATCTGATTTTTTACTGTACCAGCTAAGAAATGATGAGGACTGTAGGATTTTGTACAGCTGCTCAACCAACTTCAGTGACTGTGAGTCTCGAGCACAATAATAAACAGCAGAATCTTCAGTCTTCAGACTGTTCATCTGCAGATACAGCTGCTGTCTGCTGTTGTCTCTGGAGATGGTAAACCGGCCTTGGACTGACTGAGAGTAGTATTTGCTGCTGCCACTACCGCTCTCAATCTGGCTAATCCACTCCAGTCCTTTTCCAGGTGCCTGTCTGACCCAGGCCATCCAGTAGCTGCTGAATGTGAATCCAGAGCCTGTACAGGTCAGTGTATGGGATTCTCCAGGCCCTTTAACCACTGGTTCAGATTCTGTCAGAGTCTGACCATCAACACCTGTCAAGACAAAAGAGAAATCAGTCATTTGTTATAATGTGACACCCTTTTTAAGACAGATTTAATTCAAGATCAGAGAAACTCCTCACCTGCCCAGCAGAGAGTTAACAGCAGAAGTCCTGTACTATACTCCATCATGTTAAACTGGGTGTCCACTGTTCTCTGTCATCCTCTCTGCAGTCAGATAAGTGGAAGAGGTGGAAGAGTTTTGCATTGACTCCTCCTCACAGCCAGGGAGGAGGGACATGGACTTGGTTTTAATTTTTGACTGCTGTTGAACGAAGAGGGTTATAATACATACCAAGTTTAGATTCCAGCCAAATTAATTTTATCTTTTATCTGAGTCTGTAGTGTCTGCAGAGGTTGAATAGTGTGTAGCATTTTTTTTTTATTTTGAATTAAATTTGCCTTTGAACACAAATTTTCAGGAATGTCTTGAAGAAATTTTTTCAAATTTGGTATAAAAATGTTCACTTTGACTCAACAATGAACTGATTAGAATAGGTTTTTTCAAAGGTCAAAGGTCAAGATCCCTGTGACCTCACAAAACACGTTTTTGGCCATAACTTTAGAATTCACTTGTTATTTATGACACAATAAAATAAAATGACAAAATGATGACAGTATCCAACAAAATCAGCTGCGACAAATACAATACACACAAACTGAACATTCCCAGCGGTGGTGGTAAATAGAGGAAGTGATTCTTGTATGACCCTGCTATCACTGTCTGTCACTGTGTCTCTTCGGGCGCAGTAATACACTGCTGTGTCCTCGGTCTTCAGACTGTTCATCTGTAGATAGACTTTACTGCTGGAGTCATCTCTGGAGATGGTGAATCTGCCCTGGACTGACTGGGAGTAATAGATTGGAGTACTAGCAGTGTGTACCAAAGCGATCCACTCCAGTCTTTTACCAGGAGCCTGTCTGATCCAGTTCCACACTGAGCTTCCAAAGTTAAACCCAGATGTTGAGCAGGTGAGTCTGTGGGATTCTCCAGGTCTTTTAGCTGCTGGTTCAGACTCTGTTATGGTCTGACCTTCAGCACCGATCCAAACAAACAGAACAACCACCAAGAGTGTGAGCTCTCTGTCAGCCATGTTGACAGTTGACTTAGTATGTTTTCAAATCCATGAATCCTCTTAAATATGATGTAAACTGGATCCCTGTGAGAATTTGTTTGAAGCTCCTCCTACGTCACATTCTGCTTTTACAGTCAAATTCAAGAGACACAGCACAAAATATAACAGCATTTTAACAGATACAACTGATGATTTAAGACATCTGTACCTTCATGACTAAAAAAAAAAATGCATTAATTTAACTTTGTAAATAGAGAATATACAATTTATTTATTTATTTTTTCATGTCTTAATTGACGGACCCTGAAGATGTTTTCTGTGGAAACTACTGTTAAATTTCTAAGATCATGAAAACTATTTCACACCTGATGTTAATTGTAATATTCATTTATTTCTTGTGTGTGTTTGTTTGTATATTTGATTTTGTTACTGAAAACACCAGTGAGGTGAAAGCAAGCAGCTGGTTGAAGGCCTGGATTTCTTCAAACTTTTCAAGATTTCAACATTCAAATTGTGTTTGAAGCCACAGACACACAGAGGAACTCGGAGCCTTGAGAGGAAATTAACAACTTAAACTGTGTGATGATACAGAAAACTGCTGGAAAATGTCGGCTGCTTATCTGTCACATAATGTCTATTAAATTGTTCTTTTTATCTAGTTGAAGAAGAGTAAATGGGACGATGCAACACCTTATTCTCCTGCAAACTTCTGCAAACTAAACTAAGTGAAAAGGCTTGTAAACATTAGTTTAGACAATTGTCAAATACCATTTAACCAGTTGCCTCTGTTGATCTTGAAAGAGTTGTAATATATGTCTAAATGTTCAAGTCCCATGAATTTAAAGATGTTAAAAAATTTTGCAGTCGACTCTGAATTTAAGGATGTCGGAGTTTAAAAGAACAAAGATGGAAAATATTTCTGCTCACAACTAAAAGATGATGAAACTTATTCTTTGACAAATAGTAAGTGAGCATGAAGCTGCGGAAATAACTGTTAGCCACTAGTGCAGTGACTGACTTGACTTGAAGATACTGAGATGCAAAGACAGTTTCTCACAGTGACCTGGTGTGAAATCATTAGTGGTCTGAGGGCTCCTCCTCTGGTGGCTTCATGTTACAAGTGTTCAGGCACTGAGGGGTTTTTGTTCAGGTCTACTGATGGTTTGTGTTACTGTGACTCTCTGGCACAGTAATACACAGCAGAGTCTTCAGGCTGCACATTCTGTCCATTTAGAGTCACTCTGTTGCTGGAAGAGTCTAAATTGACACTGAACCTGCTCTTTAGTGAATCTTTGATGCTTGAGTCCCTACTGATCCACTCCATTGCTTTCCCTACAGGCTGTCTGATCCAATGTGTGTAGTAGCTGCTAAGAGAATAAGAGACCTGACAGGTGATGGTGAGACGTTGACCTGGCTGCACAGTCACAGAGGCTGGCTGTGTCAACTGTTCACACTTCACACCTGTTAAAAAAGAAGAAAATGTTTTGTTATAAATGATCAAGTTCTACAGCAAGAGAAGAAATGTTGACCATGACAAATCCAGAGAGACTCACAGGATCCAGCTGCCAACAGCAGCAGCAGAGCTACAGAAAACATGGTTTATGGTGAAACTGAAGAGATGTGAGCTTCTGATCCCCTTTACTTCCACTGACAGTCTCATGTCTTTATAACTGCATCACATGGAAGATTACTGAATTTGCATAGAGACCTGCAGATGATGGTCACATGGATGACGTGAGTTTGGAGCAAAACACAGGAACCAGTGACAATTTAGAAAAATAAATTTTAACTTTTTGACGTGTTTTCATTGAACGATCTGTTTCTCTAAAATTTTAACTCAACTGAGTTTCATAATGACACCAATTCTGTTTTCTCTTTAATTGCTGTTAAAATCTAAAATTTTGAGATTCTAAAACCATGAAAATAAATGATATCTGATAGTATTTTCAAGACTATTTTCTTTTTGTGTGTTTGTTTATTGTTTTATTTTGTTACTGAAAAACCAGTGAACTGAAAGCAGCATAATCTGATATATTTGACTTTGCTGCAGCTGATTTAAAGCCTGGATTTTTACATTCTTCTGTACTCATATTGTGGATTTTTGAAACCACAGACAAACAGAGAAACCTGGAACCTTGTGAGGAAATGAAATACTTAGGAACTGAAACCTGTATGAAGATATGTAAAAGCTTATTGCTGTGGTGAATGGGAAAATGTCTGCTGACTTATCTGTCAAATCCAACTTGTCTTTTATATCACACTTAATGAGAGCAAACAAAACTGTAGAAAACCCGAGTTGTTTTATTGAAGTTCTGTTATGGAATAACCAAGGTTTGCCTGTTGAGGAAAGTGATTTCAACATTCTTATCAATGTTTAAAAATATTTTTCTATTGGAAAACACCTTTAAACCCAAATCAGGTATTAGTGGGTCTCACAGTATTCAGTCAAACTGCATTGTATCATTTTCTTGGGCTGAGCTGAACCAACTGAAGACATCATTCATTTGAGCTGATGGGGGTCTGATGAGGACTGTAGAATTTTGTACAGCTGCTGAACCAACGTCAGTCACTGTGAGTCTCGAGCACAATAATAAACAGCAGAATCTTCAGTCTTCAGACTGTTCATCTGCAGATACAGCTGCTGTCTGCTGTTGTCTCTGGAGATGGTAAACCGGCCTTGGACTGACGGAGAGTATAATTTGCTGCTGCCACTACCGCTCTCAATCCGGCTAATCCACTCCAGTCCTTTTCCAGGAGCCTGTCTAACCCAGTGCATGTAGTAGTCACTGAATGTGAATCCAGAGGCTGTACAGGTCAGTCTGTGGGATTCTCCAGGCCTTTTAACCACTGGTTCAGATTCTGTCAGAGTCTGACCATCAACACCTGTCAAGACAAAACAGCATCGGTCATTTGATATAACTTGAGAAACTTTTGAAGACAAATTCAACTCAATATCAGTCAAACTCTTCACCTGCCCAGCAGAGAGTTAAAAGCAGCAGTCCTGTCCTATAGTCCATCATGTTAAACTGTGTGTCCACTGTTCTCTGTCATCCTCTCTGTAGTCAGATAAGTAGAGGTGGAAGACATCTGAGTTTTGCATTGACTCCTCCTCACAGGGAGGAGAGAACTAGATTGGACTTGACGTTCAGTTTATTGTTTCATGAAATGTTTGTCAGTGATCTAAAGTTTGTCCAACATGTTTTAATTTCATTTGTGTAACATAAAATTAATTAAAACATATTTCATCATGACATCATCCTTCCCTGTGCTGGTCAGAAGATGAACTAAATAACTGACTGTAATCCTCTGATCCACTGTCATCTATGAATATTTTTTAAATTGTCATTTCACACAATGTTCATTATGAGCTAGATCTTATTAATGGGAAAATCCAGTAATTCCTTTTCTTTTCGCTAGACTGAGGTTGTTAATATATTTAAAGTGTTTGGAGGAAAAGTTACATCATCAATACATGTTCATCAGCATGGCAATATAAAATGTTACTGTAATTCAATGATTGTGTTTAATGTGATCAGATTTTTTCTCAGTCATTGAAATGAAACTAACTTCTGTCACATTGACGCTTCATGAAAAATCACATGTTGCGAGTTGAATTTGTGTTTTGGCAATTTATCTTTTTTGTTTTCTTTTTTCTTTTTTTTCTCTTCAGAAATGACTCTGAGCCACTAATGAAGGGAAGAGTCAGGGAAGTAAAGAGTCAGTGAACTGGTGTGAAATCATTAGTGGTCTGAGGGCTCCTCCTCTGGTGGCTTCATGTTACAAGTGTTCAGGCACTGAGGGGTTTTTGTTCAGGTCTACTGATGGTTTGTGTTATTGTGTGTCTGGCACAGTAATACACAGCAGTGTCTTCAGGCTGCACATTCTGTCCATTTAGAGTCACTGTTTTGCTGGAAGGGTCTAAGTTGACACTGAACCTGCTCTTTAGTGAATCTTTGATGCTTGTGTCCCTACTGATCCACTCTAGTCCTTTCCCTGCAGGCTGTCTGATCCAAGCTGTGTAGTAGTCACTAACAGAATAAGAGACCTGACAGGTGATGGTGAGACGTTGACCTGGCTGCACAGTCACAGAGGCTGGCTGTGTCAACTGTTCACACTTCACACCTGTTAAAAAAGAAAATGTTTCATGAAAAATGATTGTTATACAGCAAGAGAAGAAATGTTGACTATGACAAATCCAGAGAGACTCACAGGATCCAGCTGCCAACAGCAGCAGCAGAGCTACAGAAAACATGGTTTATGGTGAAACTGAAGAGATGTGAGCTTCTGATCCCCTTTACTTCCACTGACAGTCTCATGTCTTTATAACTGCATCACATGGAAGATTACTAAATTTGCATAGAGACCTGCAGATGATGGTCACATGGACATGGGTTAATGTGGAACATGGGTTACAAATTTGTGTTAGTGAAACATAATTAAAATGGAGATACAATGAATGTTCCCAGCAGTGGTGGTAAATAGAAGAAGAAGTTATTTTATGACTCTGCTATCACTGTCTGTCACTGTGTCTCTCTGGCGCAGTAATACACTGCTGTGTCCTCGGTCTTCAGACTGTTCATCTGTAGATAGACTTTACTGCTGGAGTCATCTCTGGAGATGGTGAATCTGCCCTGGACTGACCCGGAGTAACAGATTGGAGTACTAGCAGTGTGTACCAAAGCGATCCACTCCAGTCCTTTACCAGGAGCCTGTCTGATCCATTTCAGTTCAGCTGATTTACATAATGTTTCACTGATGTCGACTTTCATTAACTATTCAAATTTACAATATGTTAATTAAAAAATTCTAACATCATGAAAAATATGTAACATCTGAATGCAACTGTAATAATCATATTTTGTTGGTTGGTTTTTTAATTTTATTATGTTTCTGGAAACACCAGTTAAGTGAAAGCAAGAAAATCTAAATGAAGACTTGATTTGCTGCAGCTGCATGAAGGCCTGGATTTCTTTCAACTTCTCTAGGTTTCAGTATTCAAATTGTGTTTGAAGCCACAGACACAGAGAAACACTGAGCTTCGAGAGGAAATAAACTACTTAGGAACTGAAACCTGAGTGCTGATGTACAAAATACAAAATACTAATTGCTGTATTTAGGATTAAAGATAAAATGTCTGCTGACTTATCTGTAAGATAACGTACAGTATGAAATTGCTCTTATATATCATATTTAAGAAGAGTAAAACAAAACATGAGACAACATGGGCAGTTAAGTAATCAGAACGTTTGAACCTCAACAGTGAAAAAAAACTGTAAAAGTACTTGTAATTCTGCAGTAAGAGAATTAGAAAAACCATTTAGCTTCATAAATGCTGTTGACAAACAAACTTTCACTTTACTGCTCGTGAGGATGTCGTAGAGCAGAAGGAGGAAGAGATCCTACACCAGCGGTCCCCAAACTTTTTTCAGTGGGGGCCACATAAACTTTCCTTTCTGAGATGGGGGGCCGAGGTTAGTCTATAACAGGAAATGATATGGGCCAGGGTGACAACCAGTATTATTGTGGAGATTACAATGATAATTTGTTGTAGCTGCCCTTCGTTTGGCTTTGGCACCACCTGATGATTTGCAAAAAAAAGTAGTAAAAAGTCTTCACATGTGTTTATTTGAAGTACCACAGATACTCCATTTATTTTATAGAGAATAACAACACAAGCTGATGGTAATGCCGGGGGGG